TTATTCAAGGGGGAGAGGGGCAGAGGGAGAGAGAGAATCTCAAGCAGACCCCTCTGAGCATGAAGCCCAACATGGGGCTCGATCTCATGACCCATGAGATCATGACCTGAGCCAAAACCACAAGTCGGATGCTTAACCAACTGAGCCACCCAGGCCTCCCTCTATTTTTAACTTTTTGAGGAACCTCCATACTGTTTTCCATAGTGATTGCACCAGTTTGCATTCCTACCAAAGTGCAAGAGTGTCCCCCTTTCTCCACATCCTTGCCAATATCTGTCATTTCCTGACTTGTTAATTTTAGCCATTCTGACAGGTGTGAGGTGGTATTCATTGTGGGTTTTGTTTTTTTTTTAAGATTTTATTTATTTATTTGAGAGAGAGAATGAGATAGAGAGAGCATGAGAAGGGGGAGGGTCAGAGGGAGAAGCAAACTCCCTCCTGAGCAGGGAGCCTGATGTGGGACTCGATCCCGGGACTCCAGGATCATGACCTGGTTAAGGCAGTCGCTTAACCAACTGAGCCACCCAGGCGCCCCTCATTGTGGTTTTGATTTGTATTTCCCTGATGATGAATGATGTTGAGCATCTTTTCATGTGTCTGTTAGCCATCTGGGTGTCTTCTTTGGAAAAATGTCTATTCATGTCTTCTGCCCATTTCTTAACTGGATTCTTTGTTTTTGGGGTGTTGAGTTTGATAAGTTCTTTATAGATTTTGGTCAAACACTTTAAAAACAGTCTTAATAACTATATTCAGTGAGGTAAAGGAAAATACACTCATCATGAACAAAAATATAGGAAATCTCTGTAAGGAAATAATATACACACACACACACACACATACATACATACACATGTATACACACACACATACTTTTAATGAGCCAAATGGAAATTTGAGAACTGAAAAACATAGCATCTGAAATGAGAACTTTACTGAATGGTCATAGTAGAATGGGAGTGACAGGAAATAATTGGTGACATCAAAGATTAATAGAAATCATCTAGTTTAAAGGAAAAAGGGGGATTGATTGGGGTAAATGTCTAGCACATGGGTAATTATAGACTCCAGAAGGAGAGGAGAGACACATAGTGGGGCAGAAGAAATACATGAAGAAATAATGACTAAAACCTTTCCAAATTTGGTGAAAGACATATAGGATAAATATGAATAAAGTCACACTTAGACACATCATTTTAAAATTACTGAAAACTCAAGATTAACTGTGAAAATCTTGAAAACAGAGAAAAGCAACAGATCACATACAGTATAGCATTGTAAAGACTGTGAATCGGGGACCATGGAGGTGAGAGGCAAGTGGGACTGCACCCTATAATACTAAAAGAATCTTATACCCTCTAAGAGTGAATGCTAAATAAAAGTGTTTTCAGAGAAAGGGAAACTGATAAAATTTGTTGCCATCAAGTGCGCACTGCTAAAAATGCTAAAGAAGTTTTTGTAGACTGCAGGTAAGTACCAAAGTGAAATTCAGATCTTATGAATGAATGATGATCATCAAGAACAGTAAGTATCTGGGAGAGATGTTTTCTTTCAAGTGCATATGTTTTAAAACAATAAAACATTTCTTGTGTATGTAATGTATGCAGATGTAATAGGTATGACAGTTGCAGCACGAAGAATAGTAAAGGATACATGAAACTATAGAGTTTCAAGGCTTCTACATTTTAGAAGAAGCAGTGCCATATTCTAAGTAGGCTGTGAAAAAGAGAGGGTGTATATTACAATCTCTAGAGCAACAGTTATAAAAATATGCAAAGAAGTACAACCAAAGAACCGAAAGATAAATTGAAAGGGAATTTTTAAAATACTCAAATAATATAAAAGGAAGCAGGAAAGAGAGAACAGAGGGCCAAAATACCAGAGAGACCAAAAGAAAACAATAGTAGCCCCAAATCCACCCATAGTGCCCTTGGACATTTGCCAAAGCCCACATGTACACCATCAAGAGTGACCATAGTGTAAACACGGACTTTGGGTGACAGTGCTGTGTCGTTGTAGGTTCACTGATTGTAACAAATGTGCAGGATGTGGTAGTGGGGGAGGCTCTGCTTGTGTGGTGGTGGGGGAGTATGGGAACTCTTCCTTCCTGCTCAGTTTTGCTGTGAAACTGCTCTAAAAATATTTTGTATATTATAGGCACCTGGGTGGCTCAGTCGGTTGAGCGTCCGACTTGGTTTCAACTCAGGTCATGATCTCAGGGTCCTGGGATCAAGCCCTGGGTTGGGCTCTGTGCTCAGTGGGGAGTCTGCTTGAAGATCCTCTCCCTCGCCCTCTGCCCC